TCGGTCCAGCCCTATTAACCACCCTTCTGGTCCGTTCTTACTATATTTTATTATTATTGCCAAAATATTTAAAAACAGTTCAAAGCACATTAGCTCATAAATTACAAATTGTCCCACTGATGCTGGTAAACCAGTGTTGTTTGTGTTGTTGTGAAACGATGTTTTAATGGTAACACTGAATCTTAATACCAAGATTTTTTTTAAATTCAATTATAGCCTTATTCGCGTTATTATCAATACATAAACTATCAACTTACGTTTGGAAAGTAATTCTATATTATGAAGCTGAAGAGTTTGTTTGTTTGGTTGAATGCGCTGTCTCAGGAACTGTTGGTTCGAATTGAAATATTATTTTAGTTTTGGATAGCCCATTTATAAGCACTTGAGAAAGACGATAGGCTATATAGAAAAAAGAAGACTAAAGGCTCGCTACGTCCATCAATAAAAAAATGATGATACAAAAACTTACTTATTTAAAAATTATTAGTCCTGAGAGACGCAGACGCACGTGTCAGGTTGTTAAACGATAAAGATTTACTATTGTATTCATACTGTATGCTCTGCGGTTAATCAGGCTTAAAGATAATTAACATCTTCACTGCCATTAATAGCGTGTAATTATAGTTTATAGTCTTTTTTTTATTATTCTCCGTATTCCATAATCATGCTTGATAATTTTGACTGCATTTGCAAGGCCAGCATGTTACTGGGCGTTCTTTATTTGTTGCCCCTTGCTAAAGAGTACCCAACAGAAAAAAATAACATGGTAGTTCCTTTTAATGGAGGGTTTAACTGTCCTCACTTGAGCTTACTTATACAAAAGTAAAGACAAACGTTGCAATGCGAAATATTATAGAAACCTACCTCTAAGGAAGGCTTACTCTTAGCGAGACTAGTAAATTTATTACAAAAAAATCTTCCCACGTCTAATTAATTAACTGTACTTAATGCTTATTTGCGTTTTTTATTTACAGCACTAAGTCGTTTAAATATATGAAGCACCAGTTTTATGCTATTTTAAAAAAGATTTTCTATTGTGAGATGCTTATCATTATTTTGAAAACGAACGCCAGATATTTAAAAAACAAGTAAACTGGTGGACAATAAAATTAAGCCACCTACCCAACACGTAGTCGTGTCTGTTTCAAAATAAAAACTGTTTTAATATTTTTTTATTTGATTGTGTGTTAATTCTTAAATGAAATAATGCATTTTTAAATGAACCAACTTTATTCTTTTAGTAATACACAAGAAATATCAATAATGAAGAAAAAACGACTTCACACTGATTTAAAATGGTTTCGTTGATGTCATCTTTCTTTAGTAAGAGACATTGCCTCCTCTGGCTGTGATAAGACATATCATCCTTTTGTTCATGAATTGTATCAACTTTTTAACGGTAGATTAGGGTATGTTTGCCCATTCCTCCAATAAAGCCGCTTTTAGCTGTTGCATGTTCTCCGGTTCTGGTTCTCGCTGTCTTACTGGCCGTTTTAGCTCGTCCCAAAAATGTTCTATTGGTTAAGGTTTGGACTTCGTGGTGGCCAGTCCAGAACTTCGCAGTTCACATCGCAGTGTGAGGGCGCGCATTATCGTGCGTTAATTTAAACTCTTGGCCGATGAATTCAGAGTATGGTGCTGGTACATTCTCTTCAAGAATGTTAGTTATGTACGATTCAGCAGTCACAGTTCCTCTCTCTACGATAACCAGCTCTGTACGGGTTTCTGAACTTATACCTCCCAAGAACAAAACTGAACCTACTCCAAAGCTTACCCTTTCAGATATGACACATTCGTATCGCATATCGTTCTCCCAGTCTACGATATACTCTTTTGCCATCATCAGCACCATATAAACACAAACTGGACTCATCAGAAAAGTGTACTTGCTCCCATTGTGCCAATTGCCAGTCACGGTGTTCACGAGCAAAATTTAACCTTGCTACCTTATGAGGTGTAGTAAGTTTAGGAACTGTTGCGGGTCTGTATGTTTTTAAGGCGTCTTCTTATTATCCTATCACTTACAGCAACACCTAGGACATCTCTGAGCAGGTGCCGCAATTCTACTCCAAAACGATAACGATTTCTGAGGCTTGCTGACACTACAAATCGATAATCCCGTCCAGATGTCTTTCTTCTGCGGCCTGATCAAGTCTAGTCTTTTGATGTAACCACCGGTCTCCAGATACCTTTTGTAGACATATTGAACCGTTTGATCGACTAACTTCACATTGTCGAGCGACATTACGTTGGCTGATTCCAGTTTGTAACAACGTTACGATTCGAACAAAGTAGATGGAAGTGGGTGGCACAGAACTTAAATCGTAATACGAATTTAACTAACGTAATGTAATACGAAAAAAATAAAAAAGCTTCCTAGCATGACATTTAAACATAAAAGAATAAAAGTGTTGGTACCTAAAAAACTGAATAAATGACGTTTGACACATTTATACTTGATAATTTTATCAATACCTCCTACCCTACTGAGATTGCTAATGAACGTTCAAAGACATATTATTTATTTTAATTTTTAAACACACCGTAATTAATGAATAAATCCTAAAATTAGAAGTGGCCTAATTTCTTTCTCCACCAGTGTATTTTACGTCTCACGTGTAGTTTTTGCAAGTATGAGGTCAATGACGTCATTTTCATACATCTTAAACCTGTCAAATGTAATAAAAACTGCATTTGAATAATATAATAATAATATTCTCACCAACTGTGAATTGGTGAGGAACTACATCAACTCTACTCACACACATGCAGCTTGCACTACACCCGCAGGTATTTCTTATAGGTTAAGGTGAACAACCTAAGGTGATACTCAATTCAAGCTCTTTCAGTTTTACTAATATTAAAATATATATTTCCGTGTGCTGCCTGAACTTTAAAACTGGTGATGACTTAGAACCATGCTTCACTATAGAGCGTTTCTATCAAGAACGAATGAATGTAATATGTTAAATACTCTTTATATATAATCACTGCCTAATTATAGGTTTAAAAATACAAGTAGCAGGTTATCAGGTGAACTATATTTGTAATCTCAGTTTTTTTTCATTGTTGAGGCGAATGTCCGCTCATATTTAATGTTACCAAATCAACAAGTTGATTCGATTTATTCATTTAACCAATCTTCAATCCGTGTTGTTCTGGTTTTGTGGGTATTTCAAAAAATACTGATTTTTTCATCTTTGCGCAATGCTCATGAGCTTTTAGCTACCGAAACTCGAAACTCCTGGTAGCAGCTGCGTATAGCAAACATTTAAAACATTTCGAAATAGGTAAGTGACTAAAAGTATAGATTTCTGGATTTCCTTCGGAGATCTTGTTAGTCTTTTAATTTGCATTGCAAAAATTTAAAATGTATAAGCAGTACAACATTCATACCTTCCAATCAGAAACTGGTTGATAAGGAACTTGATATACATTGAGTACGTATATGGGCGTCAATGAAAGAAGTTGTTTACTTACCTGAGAAGCGATGCACGTACTGCGCTTAAGATGCGGTCACCGTAAATAACATGATCATAAGACAAGCGGACATCAATTTTTGAACTCCATGGGGGTCTGATAGTATACATACATTATTTCCATTTGGTTAATTAGTAGGTAGCAAAGAAACAAGCAACAAGAGGAACGAAGTACAAGTTCAAGGTATCGTTCGATTTACTCGTATTGTTTTTCTGTTCTCATGCTATCTTTTCTTGTTTCCAATTTCTCCCTATAGTATATATATCTCCCTCTTAAGTTTGTCCTATTTACCATTTATTTAGACATAGGATCAGGTTAGTTAGACATCTGCAATACGGCTGCTCTTCTTTTAAAAATACTTAAATGACATCACTACGCCCTCCGTTACTTACAAACCAAACTTAAGTAAATAATTAGGTAACTTTAAGAAAAGTTTCACCTCATCAAAGTATCACATCAATTAAACTGATTTTCACCTTCTGGGGTGTTTTTTTTTTTTTTTTTTAATTAAATAGGACCATACGTGGAGCTTTAGGAACGTTAAGTCCTTTCATAAATGGCTTGAGTTCTGACGTACCAAAAATAAATACAATTGAGTATCTCCTCTTTTTGAAGTCTGTTCCAAAGAATACGACATGAAAAGCTCACGGGTGATTGATCTTTCTCTTTGTATCTTAATTTTTCTTTTTATTCAATGCTCTAAAATATAAAATGTCTTTGTCTTTTGATTGACCTACATTGACTTACCAGGTCGAGTTTCTATTTAATTATTATTACACATTTTCCTAATAGCGTAGTCGAAAACAAAGCAAAACAAAACATATACAAAGTTGCTTAAAGTTTTGTTTATAAATAAGAAATTATCTTTTGCAGTTTGTGTCCAATGAATAAATAAAACTAAATTAATGAGAGTTGTTACGTAAACATCATGTTATGATGCCCTCCTCTTTAGAGGCATCAGTGCCATCCATACAATGATAACCGCGACCAGACACCTTTGTTTGCAATTTTGAGCATTCCGTGTGGTCGTGGTCGCTGGCGGGAGGGTTTGCCGGCCCGAGCGTTCGTCAGAATCGTCAGTCGGTCGCTCCACGCCGCTTCGCCGACACGCGCCTCTTCGACTTAACCAATTATTCGGCCGAACCATTCGGACGTGCGAACTGCGCCATCGCGATACATTTCCCTTTAATTTAATCATTATCTACAACTCCGTTATTCTTGCAATATTAAATTATCCAGTTCCGTGGGCTTTAACTAAGCGAACTTTTGCAATTTCAATCATTTATTCACTGCAGAATAAGATTACCGCACCAAAACATTGCTGATTGCAACATTATACTATTGGTTATAAACTTTACAATTGTAACTGATTTGGAGACGCATTCCGTTGATAAATTTACGTACATTTGTGTAGATGTGCTGACATAGTCTACAGTCGCAGAGTGCATTTTAAACAGCTATTTTAAAAATACTTGAACAATTTTGTCCATTAAGCGATGTGTTAACATTAACTTTAAACAATGCTGTCCATGGAATCGTTGTGGTCTAGTTCGGAGGGTGAGCTGACGACGCTGAAATTGTGCAAAAGTGCAGTGGAGAGACCAGAGTACCGGCTGACGAGACGGAAGCCTTCAAAGAGCCTGATACCTCAGGCTTTGCTGCATACTCTTGAGCCGCAACCCAGGTCACATAGACGACGAAGGTCTGGTACTTGGCCGTAAGTGTATGCTTAAGAGACACCGCCATTTTATTTCTGTTTTGCACTTTTCGTAGTCTTATATTAATCATTTGGCTTCAATTAAAATGATAGTTTTAAATCACCATTATCAATACAGGTTAAAATATATTTAAAAAAACGGGGTATTTATTGCTAGTTTTATTTCTACGTAGGTACATCATTTTTTTTGCATTTTAAAATTAGCTTTTATAATTAGTAAAATTTCGAATAAAATACCTATTGTACTTTTCGCGTCTAACGTGTTAAATAAACAATGTTATGGGAATATAGCGACAACAATTGAATGCTGAATTTTATTTATACTGTACACACGTTTCATGACAGTAACGAGTCATCTATAAAGAACAATTATACCTACGCGATTAATAACCCTCAGTTTTATATGTTTTATTGTCGTATTTAGTTGCATAGCCCACTACTAACTGACTATGATACCACAATTCAAGATAGTAAAGTTCATATTGTTTTTAGCTTTTATTGCTAGGACTGTTGACTTTACCTCGTGGTTTGATAGAAAAAACACATTCATCTCATGTTTTCAACTTATAATAATCAACATATTCTTTTGCTTACTTGTGTACTTGATTATAATTCCTAAGAAATATTATAGTAATCAGTTATGCTGTTTAGCATTTCAACATGATTTCTTAAGACAGAGTCACGTTCGGATGCCAGTTATACTTTAATTTCACATTAACTATAGCTACTACAAAAACATTGACTTCTCCATGATTTAAACTTTTCTCTTTAATATGAGATATATCAGGTTTCCATATATCAACAACAATGCTAGTTGTATGGCTTCACACAGTGCCTTATGACTCTACATCCGTGCTGACCCAGATGTCCGCTGATGCGGCGGTGCTCCAACCTTCGGTAACTTGGTCAACATTAAACCGTAGTACTGTTTAAGAACTGTGATCTACTTCAAAATATTTGAGCAATGATTATAATATTTCCTAATATTTTAAAGTAAGGTTTACCGAAGCTCAAGAAATTGTGCAATATCAATCTCTACTTAATAGTTCAATAAATAATACATATATGTGAAACTTGGCAGAATTTTATGCTGGTATGTAACACCCCCCTGACTACGAGGATCGTAATCCTTATTGTTACGTATGTCGTCATCACTATCAAGGCTTACCTTGGTTACACTCATTATCGGGTTATTCATATGCCTACTGTCGTCGAACAGTATCAAATGTTTAGGAATGGTAGTCATGGCAACGCAACTTGACCACTGACCGATACCCCGCCACTGCGTCATTACTTACTGTCCTTCGGTGTATATGGATGATGTCCTTCAGTGCATATGGTTGATTTAGAGTTAAAATTAGTCTTGTATCGCTTTGTTGGTTCACATAGGTCGGTAAGAACAATTTGTTCGGTAAAGCTTCCAGTCAAGATTCGTTGTTTAAAAATGTACAATCAGTCTCTCTCTCCCTCGTTGTCCAATTGCAATTGCTACTTATACATGCTGTAAAAAAGGGATCAAGAACAATAGTGGTGCGTAATTTTATAGCCAAAGAACGCTGCATTGTTGTTTCAAATGCAAGAACGCATTCTTTAACGATAGTCCTGCATTCATAGATTCTGATGTTTATTGTGTATACCTAGAAGGATCGGCTCAGGTAAATGGGTGTTAATTGAAGCCAATACTAGCCGAGATAATCGTTCGTAGAAAGTTAGTCCTGTTAGAAACTGGCTCAAGTTTTGCAAATGGAAACACGACATCGTTACCGAGCAAGTAAAAGTACTCACCTACTTTATTCAGTGCTATGAACGATAATACTGTTTTCATTTGTTTTCAGATGTTTTGCATAACCAGTTCGGAGCATTTTGACCGTCTGATTAATTATGTCATTTACATAATTTAGGTAGTCGATACTCGTTTTCTCAATGAATCATTTCGAATGAAGGTTTTTTTATTTTAGTTTTTCTACTCACTGCAAATTTTAAGATTCAGTATGGTCCAGATCTTGCAAAAAACTAGTAGCCATTTTGTCATTGACCTCCATTGCTTTTACGTGAATGCAATGTGACTATTGTATTAGGAATTCTGTTGAGTCTCAAACTAAATATATATTAGTTTCGGTTTCATCGGAATTCCGTTAAAATTCTAAAGGTACTTTAGCCGCCTACACATACGAGACCAAGACATGTCCATACTTTCCTAATCATATTTAGGCTTTTTTTTCTTTTCTTGTAATGAGTTGTCTTCAAATTGATTTTAAGACCAGGTTTGTGTGTGATTTACACCTGACTGCTGTTACTTTAAAGGTAAAAAAATCTTAGCTGTGAACTATACAGAGCGCAAGGTGTCACCACAATGTTTGTTTTTTTTCGTGGCAAAGAAAGTTTCATATGCGGCCTACTGTGAAACAATCGCGTAATCGCGTTGAAACCACGCTACATTTGCAAGCCCTTACATAACTTCCTGTCTTTTTAACTTGGGACCGAAATGATATAGGGTTAAAATTATATCCAAGGCACATATCACAGGTAATCAGAATAATCTTTGATTATAGTAATGTAATAATTATTCTTCCCAAAATGACGAGTATTGTCTCATAATGACGAGAATTCATGCTTATGATCCAAGGTTTTATATTTTATACCAAGGTTTTTGTCGTATAAACTCGAATTTTTCACTCTACATGTTTTCGTATCAAAAACATGTAAAACATCTAAACGTTTGTCAAGGATTTTTCATCACGCCTGTATCTCGTGTTATAAAATAAGGGTTTGCCTAAGTTTAATAATACTCTTGTATAGTATAATATAATATTTTTCATTAAAAAATTTGGATTTATAGGCTGCATTTACGCTGAAAAGTGTTTTAAAGCAATTTAAGGTATGTTAATTACTTACGTCCTACACTACGTTTACCGAGACGCGGTCTCCACTCAAGAACTCGTTTTCCCCAACGGTTGTCGGTTCTGCGGCTAATATGGCCAGCCCACTACAGCCACAGCCCAGTTTTGGATGCGAGAAGCCCAAAATCGATCTAAGTGGCGTGCAATGGGAGAGGCCTATGTCCAGGAGTGGACTGCGATAGGCTGATGATGAATTACTTACGTTGTTTTGTGTATATTTTTAAACGCCACACGGCGAACTAAACACTAAGTTACTTGTTTTGACTAGAATCTAATATAAATAAATAAAATATATGTCAATATATATGTAAATAAATATAAATAATAAAATATATGTATTGTAGTATAGTCTTATCATAATAATAGTATAAGTAATTACTCCACAGGACACCGCATTAGTTGTATTATTAGTATCTACATTGCACTCGTGCAAAGCCGGGGCAGATCTACACGCGGATTATAAAATACAGTCGACTCTCGTTAATTTGAATCTCGGGGGGCTCTTAAAATATTACGAATTATCGAGTGTTTGAAATATCAAATGGTTAGAAATTTTTGAGAGAAAAGAAATAAAACTTCGAATTATTAAGTATTCATAATCAATTATGTATTATTTAATAACTGCTATTCTTTAACAATGACAAAGGTTACACACATACGTGTATAGATTCATAATGTGAATTAATTAATTTTTCAAAGGAACTCTGTTATTTTGGCTTGCTTCAAAAAACATTGCTGCTGCTCAGACTGCTCCATAACTTTTTTTAAGAGAAAAAGTGCCTGAAATGCTTTCTCATCACTTTCGCTTTGTAGACAGAAGCTTTGTAAAGTGTCAAATAAGGCTATAGTTTCCTAACTGACACCTCTACCAAAGGTTCTGATATATCGTCCTCATCTTCATCGTTGCTTTTTTTCACTTGTATCTGTCGCAGATAAAATTTCACTATCGGTTAGTAAACCTGAGATGGCAACATCTTCATCCACTTGAATAAAGTCAGAAAAACTCACACCGCTGATGGCAACTAGCTGTTCTTTTGCTGGTTCTTCATCATCCGTAATTATTGGAAGATTTTCCTGATCTTCCTTTTTGAAACCGGATTTTTTTAAGCAGTTGAGACTCTTTAGGGGTATTACAGCTCTCCATGCCTTGTTAATCAGTAAAATAGTCGTCAGAACCGTGATATTTACAGTTAGCTGCTTGTCGAGAGATTCTGAAAGGAGCTTAACAATTTTTGCGATAGAACATCTTAAAATTATGGATGATCCCTTGGTCCAACGGTTGCAATTTGGAGGTTGTATTCAGCGGAAAGAAGTAAAGTTCTACGTTTGACAATGTAGGAGGACTGTTGTGGAGAGTGCAATTGTCTAAAAAGAGTAAAAAAATTAGCTTTTGTCGTTTCATGTCCGCATTTAACTGATACGAGTAAAAGCCAATAGTTAAAAAGTTCTGTCGTCATACAAGCTTTGTTGTTAGCTTTTGTCAGTTACGATAATTAGTAGGTAACGATTTCACTACTTTGAAACATCGCGGTTTCATTGCTTTTTCTATCGCTAAGAATTAAAGTTTTTCCGATCCGTCCATATTTACTACAGGTAAAACTGTCACTGTCACACCTCTCTTTACTATGTTTTCCACCATGACATTTTTCATTTTTAAACGTAAGCTTCTTATCCAGTCAAGATTAAAAAAAAGGCCAGTTTCATCAGTATTAAAAATATCTCGGGCATTATAGTTTTCAATCAGTCTTCAATCTAAGCAAACTGCATCATTAAAATGTATTGATTTCGTTCGTAATATAAAGAGATTTTCTAGGGAACTCGTAATAACTTTGAATTACAGAGAGGTTCGAATTAACGCAGGTTTGAATTAACGAGAATCGATTGTATATGTACTTCATCAACATTACACACTATATCAACTTAAAGCAAAATTATAATTAATACATGTATAAAATAATATGCTGCCGTTTGATTTAATGCATGTAATTATATAATATAGTACATAATATGTCCATTACACATATATGTTACAGTAGTCTATACTTATAAGTATTATGGTACCTTGTCGTAGAATTCAAACACGCAACGTCTAATTGACATATGG